CTGAATTGAATTTTGATATGAACTGGCCTACTTTTGATATATTTGATATCGCTTTACCTACTTTTTTGTCTTTTATGTATAGACTTGAAATTTGGACCAGGGGTGTAATTTGTGTATTTTTTTTTATTTTGAATTCAATTTTGATACCAGCTGACATACTTTATGTATAATTGACACCATTTGACCTACTTTCTTGTATTTTGACATTCAGATTTTAAATTTGGATCAGGTTTGTAAATTCCTACTTTTGATATTTTTGATATAATTTGACCTTCATTCTTGTGCTTTTTGACATACAGACTTGAAATTTGGACTAGGGGTGTAATTTCTGATGCTGAATTAAATTTTGATATCAAATGGACTACTTTTCGTTTTTTTACAATGTTTGACCTATTGTCTTTTTTTGAGGTACAGTTATGTTACCATACAGAATGTATTAAAAATTTGTTGTCCTCAAACATCTACACCTTACATGTTTTGCATGTGACATTTTGTGTTTTCATTCAAAAAAGTTATAAAAAAGTTGTTTAGTCAAAATTAATCCTGCTCCAGTGGTCATTTATTCTGCATTTATTCTACATAATCTCATAGGAACACACTTGCAACATACATATTTTTAACAAAGCCTTTCTAAGTTATTAGGGCAAAATATTATAGTTTATATTGTGAATAATGAAATGATGGGTTAGATGAGTTATCTACGGCCATCTTAGTGGCCCTATTTTTTATTATGAAGAAAAAAAGCTAAAAGAATCAGTGTTGTGAAAGTATATTACTAGAGGGGCAGGTTAAAGTTGAGCTGAAATTGCCGAAAGAGCTGGACTTGCCTTTCAGCAAATTCTTTAAAAAAATAATTTCCAACACTGTAAAGCCGTTGTTTCTGGTGAGCGACTCAGGGCCATCATGGACCTCTTGTTTTTGTTTTAAAGTGTATTCTTTTGTATAAATAAAAATAATAATGATGATTACATAGAAATAAAAAAAAACGCTTTCTAGTTGCACATGGAATATAGAATATATCTCTGGATTTTCCTTTTCCAAGTATTTTCTACCTAGGTTTTGAGCGCTGCCTTTCTTTGATGATCTTGTTTATCATATTTTCTGCGTATGTACGTATTAACCTTTGATCTTATAAATTTGTTAAATGAAGTTTTGCTATTTGAATTGTGAACAGATGATTCAAAATTTGAGAGAATTCAATTCAAATAGCAACATACAAAAGTTGAGCTAACATAGGTATAAAGCCTTGTAAGAGTACATGACTGTTTACCGGTGGCAATTGCTAATTTGGCTACTTTTCAGTCACAGCCAGGTAAAGAGTTAAGTTTCTTTTTCTATTTACTTTCTAAGAAAATGAATTCATTTTACATAACTGTCCATTGTATTACGTTTTTCACGTTCTGCCATGGAATAAAATGGTGTAAAACACAAAGTTTAAACAACAGCAATCATTGTATTTAGATAAAAGAAAATATTCTACATGTTTGTTTCATTATTTCGCCTTTTCCCAACAGTATTTCATTCATATAGGCGGATAGTTTCCTAACCATCGTTCCTGGAGGTTTACACCAGTACTAGACTTGTACTTCGAGGCCTAAAAACATAAAAATAAAACATTCAGAAACTTCGAGAATGCAATTAGAAGATTAAATATATAAGAATGGTATAAAACTTACAAATACGAATACACCCTTGTTTGACGTAACGAAACGGAGCAGCATGGCAAAATTGGAAAGTAACTTCAGATGCCAGTATTATCTATGTAGACCTTAAACATTTTGATAACTTTCGAAACTGTTTTGATTTTTTTCTTTGAACCTTTTTATTTCATTCATACAGTAGTTTTTGCCTTACGTGTGTTTTCAAATGTGGAAATATTCCTGTGGCTAGAAGACTTAAACAGTCTTTCTGCTATAGAAAAGATTAGTATCTGCTATAGAAAAGATTAGTATCTCTTCTCACGATGAACATCTTTCTATTGGGATTAGATCTTAAACTTCAGCACTATTCAGTTGTTGTCTAAAATGCCCTAATTCCATTATACAAACACTATGTTTGGCATCTCTTTGGTTATTTCTAAGATATAATGTACCGTTAATATACATGTAATATGACAATTTAAAATTCCAAACTTATGTAATGGAAATGTAAAATGTTTAAGTTCTTTAAAGCAGTGTTTTCTACTCATTTTCCTACCATTATTAACTTGACTTGTTTTTTTTTGACATCCGTTTTCTGCCTGGTTTAAAAATTATCTTTTTAATAAATCACGAACACTGATTTTTAAGACTTTAAAATGACCATAGTGACTATTTCCTTATTTACTTTGAAAGTTAAATAAATATACATATAATTATGTGATGTCATTAGTTCTTAGTTTATTTTAGGCACTGTTGACGATTGGGCTCGATAACACATTGAAAAGGAATTACCAAATGTGCTCACTATAATGAAGTTATATGCTGTACTCGATTCACGAATGTTATAAAGAACATGAAGAAAATGTGTCGGAAAAATTCGTCCTTCAGTGATAAAGATTGAATCTGAAGATGTCAATAGATATCACCAATTTCTTAAAAAGTTTGTACTATTAATTTTAGCTGTGTGGCTTAACATGGTAACCAATTCCATTTTGTTTAGTTCCGCCCATTGTTTTCTCGTTTAGGCACACACTATTTTTATTTGTTTGGGTCGTCAGACCAAACAAATAATGGAAGCGAAATTTCAGAGTCTAATGCTGTTAATTGCAAATGCCGAAAGTAGTCCACTTTTTTGAAGCGGTTACTTCCCTTTATATGTACACTAACTCCGAAAAATTCAGGGGAGATCACTGCGTAAAGATGGTCAAAGACAGGCACATTAATTTTCAAGCAAAATAATTCCCGAATGGTCGAAGATTTCTAATATTGTTTTATTGTATTTTTTGATCAAAAATAAGTAAAGACAAAGCGGACATTCAATCTCAGACAGAAGTTTACGACGAACCTAACAACAAGTAGTTCTCAAAACAGCTTAATACAAGCGATTGAAAGAAAGAAATATTTTTATTTTGTTACAAGTATCCAACAAATTACAACGCATTCAAAGTTTTAAAATAGCGTTGGCTTATGTCAATAAATGCACAATCACAAATTACGCGGATAAATATGATTTTATCAATGAAAATACTATTTTTAGCGATGTCGATTACCGAATACTACACAGACCGAGTAGTGGAATATATACAATGTAGATTCTACATGTCGGACTGTTTGGGCGAGAAGATTTTCGCTAAATTAACTACTTCAATTTTAAACAACAGGTTTATCCTGAACAAAATACCTCGAAATTAATAAGGATTACAAACACGATATGCAATAATGGAAGTTCTAAATTTAGAATGACTCGATGTTATTCAATTATTGTTTGTATAACTTCTCCGTGGTGCAGTGGTAACGCGCTCGCTTAGTGAGTGAGAGGTCTGGAGTTCAAATCCCAGTCGAGGAAACTTTTTTTAAATTCTTTTTTAAGGGTCTCTGTTAAGGAAGTAGCCATGATATGCAAGGATAAAGTGTAGCTGTCGTAAAAATGAACATAAATGATATTTTGATGCAACTCTAGTTATGCAGAATTCCGTATGTATCAAACTCTGGTGCCTTGCAAAATGAATTATAATACATAAAAATAAACTTATACAGGAAAATACATTACATATATACAGTACGATTTAGATTGCAATGATCAGAAAATACCACAGAACTTGCAGCCCTTTGATTCTTTATAAATATACATGCTTACAGTAAGCTCCAGGATTATTTACATCTGTGTTAAACAACAGTTAAAGTCGTTACAAGCCCTAATTTAGAATAATATGGTTTTCTTCAGGCCGTTCACATGTTAATTCACCGTGGCTGAAGGGTTTTCGCGCTCGCTTAGGAAGTGAGAGGTCTGGAGTTCAAATACCAGTAAAGGCAACTCATTTTTTTTTTCAAATTGTTTAAGTCAAATAAACATTGGATTGAATATCAGTGTTGCAATTAGTCTTATAGCCAATTTACTATAATTAAAACGCTGGAAAGCATTGGTGGAACTATACATATAATCTCACAACCTGTACCTTTCTTTCATTTTGAGACCCAAACAAATTCAGCGCCTTCTGTGCTTTGATTTCCTTTGGGACCATACGCCGCTTTTCATTGGATGGCACGGAAGTGTCACATTGAAGGTTCAATGATAACCGCCGTATGAGCACATCTGCAGATGTTTCTAAATTCAAAATTTCGTCGTTTTCGTGTTTAAATGTTGTATTCTGCTTACGCCGTTGCTAGGGGTGTGGACGGTAACTACTAACACTTACTATTATCGCCAATGAACAGGCCCAATCAAACCGAGCCTGCAACATTTTCAATTTTGTTGTTTTAAACGTTCTTTAGGGATTCTATTTTCCCCAATTTTATCAATCCTAATGTGATTATCTAGACTTTATTTTGGTGTTTGTTATAATATATTTATTTAGAAGTTTTATGAATTTACTGTAGATAGTTGTATATATTGTAATAACATGTTTTGTACAATCTTGAAATAGAAATATAAATAGATCAGTTGAAATGTTCATACAAATGTACTTGCTTTTGTTCGGAAGTGCATAATATCAGTTCAGCTAAGTGAATTTGATTCAAAAGCTTTTTAATTAAGCCGAGAATTCATATGTAAATCCGGTGACTTCAATTGTATAAAACAGTAATTTTATGGCGCTTCATTCATAATGTGCAAACGTTTTTTTTTCAAATTGTGAAAATACTGGTTTTTTTTTAGATTATTTTCATGATTTTCATTATTTTATACGTAGTCATTGAGTAGATACCTTTTGATTTATATCATGTTGAAATCAATTTTATACCAGTATACATGCACGTATATATGTTTTTTTTTATATTATCAATCAGCCAAGAGAAGAGATGTTTGTTATACTCGTATATCAGTCGATGGTTATTGTATATAAAAGTCGGATTGTTTAGTGCAAATGATATGTTAACATCATTAACTGGTGAAAATGCAATTTCATTATAGCATTTTTTGATAAACATAGAAAGGAAGGCAATATAATTGAATTTCAATTTGCCAATATTTCTTGAAAGTTATTTTTTAAGCAAATTCAGTTGATCAGAAAACCACTGAAGACTGTATGAAAGTGAGAACCAAAGAGATCTCCTTTCGGGTTTGAGTTTCCAATTTTAACAAACACGGTGTCCCCGGCACGCAGTTGTATGACAATAGACGTTGATCTAATTAAATAACGGTCAGGATTGCTGTCCAAGAAAATGTAACCAACTTTCCGCATGTTGTGCATGATGTACAAGTGAAACTGAAAGAAGAGAATTTACAATATTGAACGTAATGATTTTCAGAAATATGGTAAAAAAACAACAACAAACAAACACACCACAAAGAATTAAAACACAAACAAAGAAACCAACAACAAACTAACTGCACTTTAATGGCGTAATTAAAAATGGGGAACAAAACTAATAATTATCTAGAATAACATCGGAAACAAATTCAGCTAAAATATTTTTAGAATGACTATAATATAATGTGTTTTGGTTGTTCTGTCATAAGATTGAAATATATAAATAGAACTTACATTATCATATAGTTTCTTTCTACTTGAACTTGCAACAAGATGAATCGTGTATGTTCCGTTTACAGGTGCAAGGAACACCCCAGAACTCGGTTTTTGTAAGCATCCCCAACATTTGTTAAAAACCGCATCAAATACAACGACTGTATGTTGGGGTGGATTCACCATGTTTTTAGACAGCTGTGCCATAAATGCTACTGATTTACGGTCTGAAATAGGCATTGTTTTATTGTAATTTCTTTTCTCACTTTTCACAGTAACAAAATAATTTAAACTACAATTAAAAAAATAAATTTTGCTTGAAAATAAAAATTCAACAATTATAATTGTTTAAACAGAATTGCAATCTATAAAATAATCCACGCTCCTAACATAAGCCTCTAATATACTATGAAAGATGTGAAAGTTTGAATTTAGAAACACCAACGATTTTTGTGAAACCTTTAATGTGACACGTTCGCTTTTTTGTGAATTGCGGCGTATTGTCAAAACGAGAAAAGAGTGGAATCACATTTCTAAATCTCATATAAATTTTTTATCACTTTTTGATAATTATCATTTTTATTTTAGAATTTTATCTTTAGACATATTTACCCAGTCATTCTATTTATGACATAAGAAATATCATAAAATTTCAGTATTTGTAAATCTCACGTAACATTATCTAATTAAGTGTCACAGTTGCGTTTAGGTTTCAACTTAATTGATACACCCTCTAAGTCTCAGAATTAAACATAATGAAATAAGAAGAAAAAAACACGAATTTTCATTATGACCAATATATTGGATATATCATTACATTTAGGAAATTAAATTGCATATATCTTTTCTCAGTTCTGCAAAATACTAAAAAAATGTACGGTAATTTATCATTCAACATCAACATTTTACATTTTTCAAAAAAAGTATAAAAAAATGAACTAAATCTTAATCAAATAAAACATAATGAAGATTTTGCATGTATTTGTCTTGTTTCTTGTTTGTATCCTGAATATGATAGTGCATGCATTATTGCACTTAAAAAAAAACACATTAAAAACACAAAAATCTGCCACTTACATTTCAAATAAACATATTAAAATGAGTTTTAATTTTTCATGATCAATTATTCATATTTTTACTGTTTGATATGTTCCATTATTTATAATTATCATGTTTGATATGTTCCATTAATCATTACTTTGCTGTGCACATACCGCTGCGTTTAAGTTCATCAATTTCTTTTGCCTGTGCTGCCATACCACTCTTCAATTCAAGCAAAGTCTTCACAATATTTGTTGTAGAAACGCTGTTGTTTGTTCCGTTTTCATCTAAACACAAAATGGAAAATGATATGACATTACACATTTAAAATAAAACTAGAATTTTATATCATAACAAAAATGAAGGACTTTATTTACTAAACAGGTGAATAACTACATTTTTAAATCAGAATATGATTCACATTATTTTGAAACTACTCTTAAATTATCAATTAAAACAGGATAGTCCCTCTATAGTGTCAGGAAAAGTAAGTTATCAAATTTATTGAATTCATGGGGAAAATATTTTTAATTGATGCATGTTTTAACAAAGGTATCGATATAGCAGCGCTTGGTGCAAAACAAATCAGAAATATACTGTTTATTCGTTCAATGTCAAAGTATTAGAATATTTGTCAGGTGACGGGAAAATATGGTTTGGCAATAGATTGATATGGTTGTGTTATATTACCACAGCCTTCCAAGTAACAACATCGTTTCCTTTGCATCATCTTTCCGACTTTAATGAAAACTTAATTCGCAATGTGAATGTTTGTTATTTGTAAAAGGGTACATAACAGTAATGTTAATCATCTTTTTCTAAACAGGTTCTCATTAGTACTATACTGATAAGTACTCATTTGAAGGGATTCCCTTGATACATTTTGAAAAACATATTCTGAAACAGAATCCCTTAAAGGAAAATCAGAGTGTATTATGGAGGACAATTTATGAGTGTTATTGCCTCATACATTTATTTAAGGAATTCATTAGTGGCGTAATATGTATAATTCCTTCAAGTTTAAAGCGTATTTCATTGATATGTGATGAGAAAATTATTGACATACACAAAACAATCCGTAAACCATTACAAATTTTTTAAATTAAAAGGGAAAAGGGGGACATAGCTTTTCGTTCAATTTTCATTTAATTGCAAAGAAATTTTTTTTAATTTTAAATTAGGGAAAAAAGTTTTTGGGGTTTTCATGAAATTTAAAAGGGCCCCGAAAAAATTAAAAATTGCTGATATAATTAGTCTTTTGGATTGTTAACCCCAAAAGTTTTTTAAACGTTTGTATTTATGGTTATGTTTACGAAAAGGTTATATAAAAATAAAATTTTTACATTCCAATATGATCCCCTTTTTCCCTTTCAACAGTACTCTGGTTACAGTTTTTAAATTGATAATATAAATACTCTATATATTATGTAATGATTTTGGGAAAAAATGATGGAAAAGTTTATGCAAGTATATTGTTTAAATTTTCGTTTAGTTTTTGTTTAAAAGTTTTTTTGGATGGACATTTTTGTCTTAAAAAAGAAGGGGACTAAAAATTGAAAGGGGCACATAAAAATGAGTTTTATTACCTTTTGTTCCTTAAGTTCCTTTATTTCTTTCGTCAGCAATGACATTCTGTCTTCACTTCCAAAAAAAATCTCATCGTTTTTCATAGTAAAAATTTAAAGGGGGCCAACAGGCTTGATATAAAAAGAAACCCCTGAATTTTTACTCGGAAAATTTAAAAATGCCCCAAAGAAAAAATCCTTCTTTTTAGTAAAAAATTTTTTTTTGGGAATTGAAAAACAAAAAAAATTATGTTAAAACCCTTTCCCTTTCAAACGCTTGGTAATGAGTTGGCCCTTTGGTTTTTCCCAATATAAAAACGTATAAAAGTGTAGGAGCCCTTGATGTAATAATTTTTGTTCACCCGTAAAAAATTTTTCTTTTGTTTGTGTTCTGAAATAGAAAAATTTGGTTCTTTCGTAAAGGTATGGTTTAATTGAGAGGTTTGCCACAATTCGTTACCTTAATGCACTAGCGGATTAGGCCTTCTAAATCTAATAGGAGTTTACCTGCTATCGCACTAAGGCGACGACATAGAAAAGGTTTGTTAACTTAAACAGGGGATATATCCTAAGTATAAATTTACATAGTATACTCAAACATGGTGCGTATGTACTTTCATTTTTCTCGTATATGAAATGGTTGATAATCTTATACACAATGACTATTTATATATAAAATCTAAATCCCTGTCAAAACTTGAACGTGTTCAATGTGTTCTGAACGCTTTTATAAGTATAATATGTTGTACTCTTGTCTTGAAAAATTTAGAAAAGTCATTGATATACATGTACTACTTTTATAATTATGTTCAACTAAATATTCGCCAAATTCACGGTGCTATGATTGCACGAAAGCGCGAACTTGTATCCGCAAAAGTTTCCGAAATACAGTATCTTAAAAGTTATTATAATTAAACTCTTTATTTAAAGACTTAACTCGGATAATATTGAATAACATTTTTACTTCTTACAAATTTAAAAGATGTCAGTAAATTTGCAAAAGGTTTTGTAGAGCGCAGAGATATTAATACAAATGATGACGTTTGTCAATTGCACATTTATAATTGGTTCACAAAAAATAATTTATGGAAACATAATTGTCAAAACTCCTTAATATTATAAATCATATAATATTGTACCTTCTATCCAGGTTTGCACACTTGTGTCGTCCATGAAAATGCTCATTCAAACCGAGCTTGCAGCATTTACAATTTTATCATGTTGGCGTTCCATAGGGAGTCAATTTTTCTCTATTGTATATGGATGGAAATATCTTAAGAAGTTTTAATCTGTGTCATTTATGAAGGTATTTGTCAATAAAGACAATACAGAAGGAAGTTTTTTTTACTGTTTTAATGTATGTGAATAATGTATACAATAGCTTTAAAGTCAAAAGTCAACTGATAATACTGTTCTTTAGTCTAAATTCTTTTAGTAGTTTTGAGTTTTAATGATCATGATCCAGATAATGCTTAAGAAATGGGTTGTTTACATGAAAACAAAAAGGAAGCTTTAAACATATTTAAGGCGTATATCTTTGTCTAAATGTTGTAAATAAGTTGTTTTTTCTTGTTTTGAACCTTTTTTCTTTCAACAGTATTTTTTACCAAAGTCTTAACATTAAAACACTTTTGTAATCAGGATATAAAACTTATAAACAGTCTTAGAGTTGAAAAATCAGAATGTTTTTGTTTCATTTTGTTTTCCACGTATTTCTTCGGCACAATACTTATCAGTTTTGACTTGGATACGAATCAACGTCAAACATGGAATGAAACAACTTACTGCACCAATGATTTTATTTTCTGTTCATTTAGAAAAATTTCAAATGATAGATTAAGCTTTGAAAAATCAAAGTAATGAAAGTTGAAAGACATATCATCAAAACACCAAGTTGAAACATTTTTTTAATGCAATTTCATCGTACTCATTTTTCAACACCTATATTTAAGTCAATTCCTATAGACATCAACGGACATTATAACGGCCTATTTTAAATTTCTTCGTAATTTGTTAAGTGAAACATGACTATACATGTATTGTGCTTTAAGTATATGTTTCTGTGTTATAGCTGAAAAACCGGTGCTAAAAGAACATCAGTGATGTTTCACATTTTCATTACCCCATGTACAGACTCTGCAAATTTTCATGCAACTAAGTGGTGATTAATGCTTCCGAGGATCACTCTCTCTCTAGATTTTAAAAGTTATTTCCAGGCACAAATCGGCCAGAACACAATGATTTTCATTTCAAATCATGGTGTTTTTGACTCCCATTGTTAACAACCTGCCATACTCATGCTTAACATATTTGACACACTCTTGAAATGTGCAATAAAAGTCATCACCTACGATAATTATTTTTGGGTTATATCTTGAAAACAAATAAATTAAGTTACAAATCATCAGCTTGGCAGAGAATCCAGTAATCGCACATTGAGAGATAATGTGGACATAACTTGCAGTAATACTACATAACTTGCAGTATGTTACAGTATAACCCACCTTGGAAAAGGTCAATGTCTTAGATATTTACCTTTAATTCATAAGATCTTCTCTAAATATCTGGAATTACACATGTTTTCTTTGGGTTAAGGTCAAAGTCACGCAAAGTTAATAAACTTGTATGCTTGCTGATAACATGTTTAAAACCATAACAATACATAGAGATTAAATCTAACAAATTGCAAGATATAAACAGAATCAAGAGGTCAGTATCAATTTATCATGTATCCACGTTTTTGTATTATCTCTCATTTATACGTGATTCTTCCTCTTAAAAGTTTAATATTGCTAGTTTTAACAAAATGTGTTTGCAAATGGATAGAGTACCTTAAGATGTTTTTATTTATGTAATCCTTTGAAGATATTTGTCCTTTAAAAATAATCAACAAGTGTCAACAAATGCCTTTGAAAGATTCATGTGGACACTTGATACAATTGCTTTAAAGGAAGGTTAGTGCTGATACTGATCTTTGGTCTGGATCATCTTTCAGATATATTGCATCATAACCTAGGTAATTATTTAGATATGTGTAGACAGGTAAAATGAATAAAAAGAAAATAGAAGTATTTGTAAAAAGATATATAACATGTATAACAGAACTTTTTAAATTGTAAATTTTACATTCGAATTGATATTTCCATTTACAGCCTGTTATAAAATAATGTTTGTATTGGACTAATGTTCGTACCCGTATACTCGTCACCTGCTAAATTGGTTGTCATTGATCAATAAGGAGCAACAACTGTTTTCCCCATTTTGACCATGCACCTCTGCACCTCTGTCGCTTAATTATTTAACTGAGGACTGTGAAAATAACTTTTAAAAGATAATTGGGTTTAATTACCCTAAAACACTTTAAATAGGTGCGTGGCATGTACCCATCTACATATAAATACAGTGATTATAGTTGATTGGGGCGATATACAATTAATAAGATTTGAAAGATTTTTACCCGTCACCGCCTGCCCTAGGCCAACAAGAATAAATAATTGAATACAATTTGATATCTTATTGGAAGACAAAGACCTCAAACATGTGCGACTATGTTTTTTTATGTCGGGTTAACTATAAATAGAAATGAAATATTATCTTCATGTCATAGATGTCAGTGTGTAGACTTGATGAAAAGAAATCGAACACCCGGCAGAACGGCGAGTCATATCAGTTTTTGGAATGCTAATTCTTTTCAAATTGCCCTGTCTTGATTTTCAAAATTT